GTTGTCGTGTATATATACCAGAAAACTCTTCCCACGTGGAGCCCACAGAGAGACGATAAAGTCAACAGGATGTGGTTTTGGTGAGAGCACTTGCAGCAGGACCTGTGGAGATAATCTTTTCTCCGGTGAGATACCTGGGTCTTAAGCCGTTATTGGTAACACCTTGTTTCTTATAATACTTGCTGCATCATGTCACCTGGATGTTTAATTTTGCATCACAAAGCCTTATTATGACAAGTGGTTAAAATGCTTTCACTCCAACGGTTAAGTGAAAGATTTCAGTCGATGTTTCAGGGATAGGAAATGTTTGTGCTTGATCACACCGCACTTCTCCGGGGTAACGTATAGATGTGATGGTTTCTTCGTATTCATTTTTGGTAAAAGTGAGTGAGTGAGTTGTGTTTAACGCCGCTTTTAACAGTATTCCAGTCATTTCACGGCGTGTCAGCTTAATGTGGGAGGAAAGCCCCAAGTGATGCAGGTCTCAGACGTTTACCACTTCGGTGAAATCCTGGTGCACGGGTATGGTGCTGACAAACCAAGAAACGTAATCGGGGCGAACCGGGATTCGAACCCACAATCATAGGTTTCTGGAGTGCCCAAGGGACGCAACTCTGCACAACGAATAGCGGCGCCTCAGACGACTGAGCCACCCGTGCCCTACTGACAGTGTGAAGGCACCCGTACTCTCAACAGTTAATTTTAAAGGTGAAACCTCGATGTTTCAGACATCTCGCGTTGTTGCTTGTGTGACTTCGTACAGGTATATTACTAACGTTCATATTTATAAAGCACCAAAACCGCACCCTAGGGCATGCGCAAAGTCCCCCATTATTACCCTAGCCAACTGATCCGTGTACGCTTGATTTTCATTCTCAGTTCTCCGGAGATTATACAACCTAAGCTGAAATCAGACACTAGAAGGTAAACAGTCACATCACCAACCCATCCTACCGGGTACCCCTTCACTGCTACGTGCTCACATGGAACATTACAATAAGGCTGGAGATGTTTCAGCTGTGTGCGTCTCACAACACAACAAGTCTCACCAGACCGGTGGCGGTCGGGTAGCCTAGTGGTTAAAGCGTTAGCGCGTCACGCCGAAGACCCGGGTTCGATTCCCGACATGGGTACAATGTGTGAAGCCCATTTCTGGTTCCTCCGCCGTGATATTGCTGGAATATTGCTAAAAGTGGCGTAAAACCATACTCACTCACTCACCAGACCGAACTGCGGCTTCCTTTGAGATGTTACATCTGTTTTGATAACAGGAGCTTGGGGGGTGACCAAGCGATGCTAGATTTCAGGTGCAGTGTAAATTGTTGTGTATGATGAGACACACTATTAAAATATATTTCTGTATTTCTTATGAATGTGAATTTGGTTTGAAATGAATTTTTTTTAAAATGGTGATAAAAATCGTACATTGAATCTTTTTCTTTTTTTGGGGTGGGTGGGTGGGGTTGGGGGTTGGGGTGGGGTGTGGGGTTGGGGTGGGGTGTGGGGGTGTGTGTGTGATGGGGGTGGGTGGGTGATGGGGTGGGGGTGGTGGTGGGGTGGTGGTTGTTGTTTAACGCCGCCCTCAGCAATATTCCAGCTATATGACGGCGGTCTGTAAATTATCGAGTCCGGACCAGACAATCCAGTGATTATTATCATGAGCATCGATCCACGCAATTGAGATCGATGACGTGCTGACAATAATTATTGTTCTTTTATATCGAGAACAATACTACACACTACAAAACTATAAACAGCTGACAGGGACGTCAGAAGAGGTCTGAACGCGGGGTCTGAACGAGTTCCTTACATTCCCCAAGATAGAACAGAAGACCAACACTACAAGTGCAGAATAGAAACCGAGAGGCTAGATTCCGACTCCTGAAAGACCAACTTCAGATAGGCCAACTCATACTGACAGATGAAACTGACGGTGCTAACCGTTCAGTACAAACATTTTACATGTATCGTGTCTCTGTTTTATGTTTTAGAAGAATTATAATTGGAGGGGGGTGTTTGACATGGACATCAAATTGACTTTACTTGTCGTACCCAGGAATCGAGACCAGGTCTTCGGCGTGACGCTTCTGGTAATAATTCGTGCAATGTGAGAAAATGGTGACAGTGATCTGTTTGAACTGATTGAAGAAATAAGTTTAATGTTTCAATTTCTTTATGATATGAACATAAAATATGTTTTAAGTTAATCTGTGTGGTTGACAGTATACCGACAGCGCGTAAGCGACATTTAATGAGACAAACTTGTTGTAGAGTCCTACAAATCATTGATAGCGGCGTGACGCCCTCTGTACATACTTAGATTCACTCGCTCAACCAATAAGGTGTGTCAATAAAAACTGTCCAAATGTGCGCACGTGTAGTTAGCAAACATAGCCCTCTAACAGGACGAAAAACGGGTTAATGTTCATTTTAAGATGTCGGTGACGAGTTATCCTACTTTCTTGAATGCCTATTTCGCCAAAAATATGTCAAAAATGTATTATTCTGTTATAACTAACGTATTATGTCTTAAAGGAGATGTACAGTTTGTTTATTTGTTGTTTAAAATCGCACTCAAAAATATTCAAGCTATATGACGGCGGTCTGTTAATAATCGAGTCTGGACCAGACAATCCAGTGATTGATATCATGAACATCGATCCACGTAATTGGGATACGATGACATGCATCAACCAAGTCAGCGAGTCTGACCACCCGATCCCGTTTGTCCCCTCTTACGACAAGCATAGTCGCCTTACAGCAAGCATGGGTTTCTGAAGACCTATTCTACCCCGGAATCTTCACGGATCCGGTGCCTGGTGTAATAACAGCACACTATTTATCAATATTAATAAGTCAAAGATCAAACATTTGAGACCGCAATCAGTCTTGGAGACGAACTGCGTATTCATAACAAAGGCAGGTGCTTCCTCAGCCAGCAGATCGCTTGATTTACTGATCCCTGCATATAAAATATTTAAATATATAATGTGCAACACCGTACATTTACAACGTCATATGGCACGATGTTAAGGTCTGTTTTAGAATATGGATCTTGTATATGGGAAATGAATAATATGCCCTGTATTAATGCTGAACAGAATCGTGCAATCTGTGTTTATCTGGGTGTGAAGAAGTATGCCCTAAATCTAGCCGTATAAGCGGTTACATGGTTACATGGTTACATGGCATGGACCCCAACGGGGAAGAGCGGTTCGACCAGAAGAAAGAAAAAAATTAACTTCCGCACCCATTATATATTAATACGTCTGGGTTTGGAACATTTTATCAGATGTGGCACTGCTGTCCAAATTGAATTAGGACTGTATATTGACATGCCTTTTGATGATAGGAGAGTGTTTTCAGTGGCTTAACGTTGTTGAATGCCATGTCATTTTAAATTGTCCTCTGTAGAGTGTTGAGCGACGTAGTCATTCAAACAAGTGCAATAACATTTTACACAAAAAAGGAAAAGAGTTTTATAAAGCTTCAAGTCAGCTTCTGTTTTTTTAATTATATATGCTAAATATGTGAAATACATTACTTACGGAGTGGTCTATGCTTTGTTTGTTTGTTTGTTTGTTGTTTAACGCCGCACTCAGCAATATTCCAGCTTTATGACGGCGGTCTGTAAAATAATCGAGTCTGGACCAGACAATCCAGTGATTGACATCATGAGTATCGATCCACGGAGTTGGGATCGCTGACATGTATCAACCAAGTCAGCGAGCCTGACCACCCGATCCCGTTAGTCGCCTTTCACGACAAGCATAGTCGCCTTTTGCGGCAAGCATGAATTTTATTATGTAACAGCGTTGTAATGAATTGGGGCGAGACTGTAATAAAAATATGTCGGCCTGTCTGTCCATTCAGCTTACGCACAAAGCCCGACCACCTAATCCTATTGAGTCTTCTCAAGCACTTGAGCTTTTCTGCCACCGTCTTTAACCCAGAAAATGTTTCAAAGCAATAATAATGCTTCATTTAGGCTTATAGCTGTTTTAAATGCATCTGGTTTTGCGACTGCAGTTAAAAGAAATATCCAATTAGCACACAAAAGCCCAGCCCCTCTCCACATTAAAATATTAAATGGCCCCTAAGCGTCCTGTTTTTTAGTAGTTACATGGACACGACTCTTTTCTATTCCCAGGTAAAGTTGATTAGCTGAGCGGAGTTGCGTCCCTTAGCTGCTAGGATCCGTTTATCGTGGAGTTGAATCCCAAATTTGCTCTTACTAAACCCCGAACTGGTAAACTACGAATGCCTATTGGTGCAACTTTGGTAGCATTAACGAGAAAATATTCGAAGTAACAAGAAAGAACTCATTATTGTTCGATCTAAAATGAAATAATAATACATTAAACTACGGTTATAACGAACTCAAAGGGACCACTAATTTTAGTTTGATATAACCGTAGTTCGTTATAAGCATATATACAGCATAACTACAGCAAATAGTCGGGAAAAAAAAGTAGGTTCGTTATATCCGTCAGTTCGTTATAAGCGTGTTCGTTACAAACGTAGTTTACTGTACAATAATCGAAGTAATGAGAAAGAACTTGAAATTTCGAGAAAATAATGGAAATAACGAGAAATTTCAATTTAAGAAAAAAATATGTATGTTTCAAAAGTGGCACTATTAGGCTCTCGTAGTAAACGTCAACAACAAGCGTAAATGTCTGTTTCCCTTTCAGATTTAGCTTGCTTGACGTGTTGTAACTGAGATACTGAACCTAACTCCGTCAATGTACTGTGTGTGTCCCCAAGGCTCAATCAACTGCCGAGGTAGACTTCACTCTGTCGTCGTTGTTCAAGTGTAGTGTTTGTCTGTCATTACAGGTAGATGCTGAATACAGGAACTGAACTAGGTCATGTTTATCAACGCCTGGGCACACCGCGGCCGGAGTCGAGCGCGAGCTTCTCGGTCATCTTCTCCGTCATTCGCACCCGTCGGGATTCATCGTGTCAAACGGAAAAAAAGGCGATGGTGAGCGAACATACAGCTGAAATAGTATCCGCACATTCGTCACCACTCGTCCCTTTCCGTAACCTGCAAGAAGCTCTTCGGCTTGTCCCGGAATAACACGAGTTGGTCACGAACGAATATCCCAAACCGGTGTGTTGTCACTTGGCATTCCTCGGCTCTTTCCGAAATCCCGTGACTTGGAAATACAAGAGCGTTTACGGACTCTATTCATATCCGAGTTCACTTGGCTGTCATCTCGGGTGCGACTCGTCTCTTCATATTTGAGGTCAACTGGAAGTGGGCTTTCAACATTCCTTTTGCCAGGTAGACGGAATACAGAGAATTAATTGGTAAGATAACGTCAATTTTAAACACAATCCATTTGCAGATTACATGTCAAATTCACACGTTAGCGTTGCTGTCAACTGGTGTTTATGCGTTATGTCTGAAACGTTTTATCCACCCGTTTCCCCACAGTGAAGTTTCGATGCATGAATGCCTGTCATATATGACAGTAAGGTATTATATTTTATCATGCCAACAAACGATGTTTTATTATAAAAATCGTCATACTTTGTTAAACGGATGTAATCCGTGTTTCCATAAGTAACCTTGGACTCAACCCAATCTTCGCTAACACCAAAAGCTTCGCGTGTTATTTCGTCACGGTAGAGTGGAGATAAACGTACTCTGTTGTCAATGTAGAGCTAGATTACCTGTATATGTATTTAAGTAAGCGTGAACACGGTTGAGCCAGGGCTGGTGTTGATATAGCGGGGTGGATGTAGAGGTATGGTGAGATGGACGTGTATGTATGTAAGGATGAGTACGGATACATGAGGGCGGATAAAATTATATAGTGTGATGAATGTAGGGGAATTATGGTGAGGGAGAGTATGTGAGCATACGCATGGATCCATGAGGGCTGACGTAGACAGTGAGATGGGTGTAGGGATATGCTAGGGAAAGATGAATACGATGTGTATGTGTGTGTGCGCGTGCGTGCGTTCGTATTACCCCCCCCCCCCCCCCCCCCCGGATTTTTATAGAAAACATTTTTCCTTGCGAAAGTTAACATGAATAAGAAATGAATTCCCCCCCCCCCCCCGCCCTGTCAAAAAAGTTAACTTCGGCCTTGTGAATGCGATTCAATTCAGTGCGGCTAAACATACATGCTACCTGGCATGTTACCTCAAGATTGAAACAGTATGTTATTTCCCAATTGAGCATTTAAAATGCCATATATATTCTCCAGCTCTTCCTCACCACAACTTCACAACTTTACTTTCACATATGTACCAAGTACTACCCCCTCCATTGGGGTTAGTCCCACTCACTCGACAGGCTGAGGGTGGGTCAGGGGAAATGCATCAGTGACTGTCAGTGTCTGGCGCCTTCCCCTCACCTAACTCCTATCGTTTAAACCAGTTAGGCGTGAAAACTGAACAAAAGTATTATATAGACCCGTGCAGAAGGTTACTAACACGAAACCTGAGTGAATACCTATGTACCCCAGTCTAATTTCGTAGCAAATTTACATATCGCAACCCGCTGATGTGTGCAAACCTTTTCCAGAAACGTCGGGTGTGCCATATGCCAGTAATGGTGTGCGTTAAAAGTAAGGCATTTAATTCTTTGTTACTTTTTTACGAATCCATCAAAACTAAAACGGGAATGTGGAAAAGAATTCTAGTTTGAATTTTAAAAACATACCTTACGTTGAAGATAAAGAAATAGGCGAAACAAAAATACACGTACAATCGGGTCTCCTTGTACACTTGAAAGAAATAGTTATTTTATATATAGCAATATTCGAGCTATATGACAGCGGTCTGTAAATAATCGAGTCCGGACCGGACAATCCAGTGATTGACATCATAAGCATCGATCCACGCAGTTGGGATACGATCATACGCACCAACAACCCGATCCCGTTAATCGCTTCTTACGACAAGCATAGGCGCATTTTACTGCAAGCAAGGGTTGCTGAAGACCTATTCTACAACGGATCTTCACGGGTTTGACCTTATGAAGGAGTAAGTATATACTCCGAAACGTTGTGTTCCCCATAATGACAAATAAATTCTCTTCCTTGTGTACAATTATTGGTTGCCTTTGCTACACTATTCCAAATACATTTTGGGTAGAAAACTTGATAGAAATCGGCTAATTAGAGAGAATAGTTGAAAAATCGGCTTATTAGAGAGAATAGTTGAAGTTTTAAGGACAACAGAGATCTTGAAATCGAACGCTTTTCTATATCCGGCTGTGACGTCATATCGTTTCCGTCACAATGAGCGGCGTACCGTCATAATAGTGACCCGTTGTAGAACTAAGCCTTGAAGGACAAGCTTAATTTTCTGATATGACCACGTTTTTCGAAGTAGCTGTTCTGCACCCTTCAAGGCGTGTCATATAAAAACTGTGATGATGTAAGATAGACGATGTTGGAGCATATCAAGCGCAATATTTTGTGGAAAGTCTTCGTGTTCGGTTCCAAGTTCAATTTAACTCGGTAAAGTCTACAGGTAACCAAGCTCTACATCTAACACGTCAGTATATTTATCTCCTAAATCACCTAATGTATATACCGGCGGTTATCAGATATTTCTTGTTGGTCTAATTGCAACTTCTGTCCTTTCCCAGTCCGCGTTTGTGATCAGCATGTACAAGAAAAACACATTTCAACTGTGCACTCGTTTGTCCTACTTCAGGTGGAGTGATAGAACAGTTTGAGGAATAATCCCAGGTCCGCTATGTCAGTCACCCGTCAACCAGGCCTGGCAAACCAAAATCAGGAAGGTAGGGTGTCTTCAGGTCCGCTATGTCAGTCACTCGTCAACCAGGCCAGACAAACCAAAATCAGGAAGGTAGGGTGTCTTCAGGTCCGCTATGTCAGTCACCCGTCAACCAGGCCAGACAAACCAAAATCAGGAAGGTAGGGTGTCTTCAGGTCCGCTATGTCAGTCACCCGTCAACCAGGTCTAGCAAAGGACAAGCAAGATGGTAGGGTGTCTTCAGGTCGGCTTTGTCAGGTACCCGTCAAACAGCCCTGGCAAAGGACAAGCAAGATGGTAGGGTCTGTTCAGGTCCGCTATGTCAGTTACCCGTCAATCAGGTCTTGCAAAGGACAAGCAGGAAGGTAGGGTCTGTTCAGGTCCGCTATGTCAGTTACCCGTCAATCAGGTCTTGCAAAGGACAAGCAGGAAGGTAGGGTGTGTTCAGGTCCGCTATGTCAGTTACCCGTCAATCAGGCCTTGCAAAGGACAAGCAGGATGGTAGGGTGTGTTCAGGTCGGCTTTGTCAGTTACCCATCAACCAGGCCTGGCAAAGGACAAGCAGGATGGTAGGGTGTGTTCAGGTCCGCTATGTCAGTCACCCGTCAACCAGGTCTAGCAAAGGACAAGCAAGATGGTAGGGTGTGTTCAGGTCCGCTATGTCAGTTACCCGTCAACCAGGTCTAGCAAAGGACAAGCAAGATGGTAGGGTGTCTTCAGGTCCGCTATGTCAGTTACCCGTCAACCAGGTCTAGCAAAGGACAAGCAAGATGGTAGGGTGTCTTCAGGTCCGCTATGTCAGTCACCCGTCAACCAGGTCTAGCAAAGGACAAGCAAGATGGTAGGGTGTCTTCAGGTCCGCTATGTCAGTTACCCGTCAACCAGGTCTAGCAAAGGACAAGCAAGATGGTAGGGTGTCTTCAGGTCCGCTATGTCAGTCACCCGTCAACCAGGCCTGGCAAAGGACAAGCAAGATGGTAGGGTCTGTCCAGGCCGGCTATGTCAGTTACCCGTCAATCAGGTCTTGCAAAGGACAAGCAAGATGGTAGGGTGTCTTCAGGCCGGCTATGTCAGTTACCCGTCAACCAGGCCAGACAAACCAAAATCAGGAAGGTAGGGTGTCTTCAGGTCCGCTATGTCAGTCACCCGTCAACCAGGTCTAGCAAAGGACAAGCAAGATGGTAGGGTGTCTTCAGGTCGGCTTTGTCAGGTACCCGTCAAACAGCCCTGGCAAAGGACAAGCAAGATGGTAGGGTCTGTTCAGGTCCGCTATGTCAGTTACCCGTCAATCAGGTCTTGCAAAGGACAAGCAGGAAGGTAGGGTGTGTTCAGGTCCGCTATGTCAGTTACCCGTCAATCAGGCCTTGCAAAGGACAAGCGGGATGGTAGGGTGTGTTCAGGTCGGCTTTGTCAGTTACCCATCAACCAGGCCTGGCAAAGGACAAGCAGGATGGTAGGGTGTGTTCAGGTCGGCTTTGTCAGGTACCCGTCAACCAGGTCTTGCAAAGGACAAGCAAGATGGTAGGGTCTGTTCAGGTCCGCTATGTCAGTTACCCGTCAATCAGGTCTTGCAAAGGACAAGCAAGATGGTAGGGTGTGTTCAGGTCCGCTATGTCAGTTACCCGTCAATCAGGTCTTGCAAAGGACAAGCAAGATGGTAGGGTGTGTTCAGGTCCGCTATGTCAGTTACCCGTCAATCAGGCCTTGCAAAGGACAAGCAGGATGGTAGGGTGTGTTCAGGTCGGCTTTGTCAGTTACCCATCAACCAGGCCTGGCAAAGGACAAGCAGGATGGTAGGGTGTGTTCAGGTCCGCTATGTCAGTCACCCGTCAACCAGGTCTAGCAAAGGACAAGCAAGATGGTAGGGTGTGTTCAGGTCCGCTATGTCAGTTACCCGTCAACCAGGTCTAGCAAAGGACAAGCAAGATGGTAGGGTGTGTTCAGGTCCGCTATGTCAGTTACCCGTCAACCAGGTCTAGCAAAGGACAAGCAAGATGGTAGGGTGTCTTCAGGCCGGCTATGTCAGTTACCCGTCAACCAGGCCAGACAAACCAAAATCAGGAAGGTAGGGTGTCTTCAGGTCCGCTATGTCAGTCACCCGTCAACCAGGTCTAGCAAAGGACAAGCAAGATGGTAGGGTGTCTTCAGGTCGGCTTTGTCAGGTACCCGTCAAACAGCCCTGGCAAAGGACAAGCAAGATGGTAGGGTCTGTTCAGGTCCGCTATGTCAGTTACCCGTCAATCAGGTCTTGCAAAGGACAAGCAGGAAGGTAGGGTGTGTTCAGGTCCGCTATGTCAGTTACCCGTCAATCAGGCCTTGCAAAGGACAAGCGGGATGGTAGGGTGTGTTCAGGTCGGCTTTGTCAGTTACCCATCAACCAGGCCTGGCAAAGGACAAGCAGGATGGTAGGGTGTGTTCAGGTCGGCTTTGTCAGGTACCCGTCAACCAGGTCTTGCAAAGGACAAGCAAGATGGTAGGGTCTGTTCAGGTCCGCTATGTCAGTTACCCGTCAATCAGGTCTTGCAAAGGACAAGCAAGATGGTAGGGTGTGTTCAGGTCCGCTATGTCAGTTACCCGTCAATCAGGTCTTGCAAAGGACAAGCAAGATGGTAGGGTGTGTTCAGGTCGGCTTTGTCAGTTACCCATCAACCAGGCCTAGCAAAGGACAAGCAAGCAGGCAGGGTGTGTTCAGGTCGGCTTTGTCAGGTACCCGTCAATCAGGTCTTGCAAAGGACAAGCAAGATTGTAGGGTGTGTTCAGGTCGGCTTTGTCAGTCACCCATCAACCAGGCCTGGCAAAGGACAAGCAGGATGGTAGGGTGTGTTCAGGTCGGCTTTGTCAGTTACCCGTCAATCAGGTCTTGCAAAGGACAAGCAAGATGGTAGGGTCTGTTCAGGTCCGCTATGTCAGTTACCCGTCAATCAGGTCTTGCAAAGGACAAGCAGGAAGGTAGGGTGTGTTCAGGTCCGCTATGTCAGTTACCCGTCAACCAGGTCTAGCAAAGGACAAGCAAGATGGTAGGGTGTCTTCAGGTCCGCTATGTCAGTCACCCGTCAATCAGGCCTTGCAAAGGACAAGCGGGATGGTAGGGTGTCTTCAGGTCGGCTTTGTCAGTTACCCATCAACCAGGCCTGGCAAAGGACAAGCAGGATGGTAGGGTGTGTTCAGGTCCGCTTTGTCAGTTACCCGTCAACCAGGTCTTGCAAAGGACAAGCAAGGTGGTAGGGTCTGTTCAGGTCCGCTATGTCAGTTACCCGTCAATCAGGTCTTGCAAAGGACAAGCAAGATGGTAGGGTGTGTTCAGGTCCGCTATGTCAGTTACCCGTCAATCAGGTCTTGCAAAGGACAAGCAAGATGGAAGGGTGTGTTCAGGTCGGCTTTGTCAGTTACCCGTCAACCAGGCCTAGCAAAGGACAAGCAAGCAGGTAGGGTGTGTTCAGGTCGGCTTTGTCAGGTACCCGTCAATCAGGTCTTGCAAAGGACAAGCAAGATTGTAGGGTGTGTTCAGGTCGGCTTTGTCAGTTACCCGTCAATCAGGTCTTGCAAAGGACAAGCAAGATGGTAGGGTGTGTTCAGGTCGGCTTTGTCAGTTACCCGTCAATCAGGTCTAGCAAAGGACAAGCAAGATGGTAGGGTGTCTTCAGGTCGGCTATGTCAGTTACCCGTCAATCAGGTCTTGCAAAGGACAAGCAAGATGGTAGGGTGTGTTAAGGTCGGCTATGTCAATTACCCGTCAAAAAGGTCTTGCAAAGGACAAGCAAGATGGTAGGGTGTGTTCAGGTCCGCTATGTCAGTTACCCGTCAAACAGGCCTCGTAAAGGACAAGCAAGATGGTAGGGTGTGTTCAGGTCCGCTATGTCAGTTACCCGTCAACCAGGCCTGGCAAAGGACAAGCAGGATGGTAGGGTGTGTTCAGGTCCGCTATGTCAGTTACCCGTCAACCAGGTCTTGCAAAGGACAAGCAGGATGGTAGGGTGTCTTCAGGTCGGCTATGTCAGTTACCCGTCAATCAGGTCTTGCAAAGGACAAGGACAAACAGGAAAGTTGGGGTGTCTTCACGCGAGGCCGACTTCATATTGTGCCTGCGGTAAACAGTTCACTGAGATGTGTTCACTTGGAAATATTACTACTAATTCGTTTACAATTATTCACTCAGAAATATTACTACTTAATATTTGAGCTCATTCAGTAGTTTAATATAATGACAATGAACATGTCGTTGATGGAGAATCCAATGTCCAGGTCCTATAAAGAGACCATGAACCTAAAACATCTTCTGTCGAGCAAAAGAAAGTATACACTTGAAAATTGGATTTGACCAAAAAATTACAAACATTATCGTAACGTTACGGGCTGAAATTAGTCGTCGAAACACTGCCAACTTAAAATCCAAAAACGCAACTATGATACATGCATCGAGTACCTCACCATTGAAAAAACATTTCTTGTTTGTTTCATTTTTATCTACCACAAGTGACAACCATGGTTGTATACTCTCTTTTGCCCGGCAGTTTATAGTATCAGGTAATTCAGTCTATACAAATTCAATTCAATGGATCAATATTGACTTTTAAAAATAAATATTTAGTGTAGATTTAAACACTTAAATATATACGCTAATTCTTTACTTTGGATTAATGAGAAATAGTCCATGTGTAGTGATGGAGAGATTATTGTTTCAGTGACATGGATGCCTGCGGTGGGTCACATCCAGGACTGCCCCCCAGGCCTGGAATACCTGTCCCAGCTGGACCAGATCCTCATTGAACAGCAGGTCAACCTCATAGAGGGTGGGTTTTATCCCAAGCCGTGTCACACCAAAATACGTTAAAAGATGGTACTTCTTGTTACCCAACATGGCGCTCAGTATTTAGGGGTTGAACCATGGAAGGGTCGGCTCTGTCTGAATGGGGTACTCACGTTTAACTGCGGAATGGTGTCTCAGTAGGCAAGCACAACAAAACCGCCATTATTAGTACAAACAGACACGGAAGCACGCACACCCACATACACACACAGAGACAGACATACATACATACAGACACACACACATAGATTCTTGAACGCATCGTTACGTCTTCCAGTTCAGTGAAGAAAGTGAGTGAGTGAGTGAGTTGGTTTTAACGCCGCTTTTAACATTATTCCAGTTATATCACGGCGTGTCACCTTAATGTGGGAGGAAAGCCCCAAGTGATGCAGGTCTCAGACGTTTACCACTTCGGTGAAACCCACGAGCACGGGTATGGTGCTGACAAACCTAGAAACATAATCGGGGCGAACCGGGATTCGAACCAACAATCATAGGTTTCTGGCGTGGCCAAGGGACGCAACTCTGCACAGCGAATCGCGGCGCCTTAGACGACTGGCCCACCCGTGCCCCCCAGTGAAGAAAGCTATGGCCAATTTTATCTGGGATGCGATCCTTGTTGATAACTGAGAAAGTCAAAGGACGATTGCCGATGCCTACTTTGCTGATTTGCTTCATCGCCTGAGAGATTCTATCATCAGTTCACCTCACCTCTTAGAGGGTGAGTCGCGGTGAAGTATGGGCGGAGATTCTAAACTTTCTCGACCGGAATTCTTTCTTTTTGTTTTGTTTAACGTTCAGTTACAGTTCATCTAGATGACATGCAGTAAACCAAGTCACCGTGCCTGACTAACCCGATCCATTTAGTCACCTCTTCCGACAAGAATAATATAGGCTGCTGGGGATCAATATTTTAACCGGCATCTCCACGGTGACACACGGGAAAGGGGGAATAATGGGAAATGACTCTCAACATTCTCAGACCGGGAACAAGGGATGGCAACTCTCAAAACTCTTGGGGCAAGCTCGGGGGTCGGATTAAAGGGTATTTTCAAGCATGCCTGAATAAGTCTAACATCGTCTGTGAATTTCTTTGTTCCAGTGTTGCTGTCGTGGGAATGTAACAACAAGTACCGCGTGATGAACTCAATGAGCCAGCAGTGCTACTACGCAGCAGAGAGTAAGTGAGTGAGCGAGTATAGGTTTACGCCGCCTTTTGCAATATTCCAGCAAAATCACGGCGGGAGACACCAGAAATGGGCTTCACAGATTGTAGCCATGTGGGAAATCGAACCCGGGTCTTCGGCATAACGAGCGAAAGCTTTAACCACTAGGTTACCCCACCGACCCTGAGATAAGCAATGTCGTTAATGCTGGAGTCACAAATGAGTCAGTGAGTTGGGCTTAACGTCACTTTGAACAACATTTCAGTTATATCACAGCGTGTCAGCTTAATTGTATGAGGAAAGAAGTTTGTTTGTTTGTTGTTTAACGCCGCACACAGCAATATTTTAGCTGTATGACTGCGGTCTGTAAATAATCGAGTCTGGACCAGACAATCCAGTGATTGACATCATGAGCATCGATCCACATAATTAGGATACGATGACATGTATTAACCAAGTCAGCGAGCCTGACCACCCGATCCCGTTAGTCGCCTCTTACGACAAGCATAGTCGCCTTTTATGGCAAGCATTGGTTGCTGAAGACCTATTCTACCCCGGAATCTTTACGGGTCTAACTGTGATGTGATCAGGGCGTAGTGGATTCGAACCCACGATCATAAATGTCTGGCACACTTATGAGACGTAAAGCTTAGATGACTGGGGCACCAGTTCCCACTTTAATTGCATAAACAAGAAATACTCAAGTACTTAAGAAATCATACAGTTAAATCCGAATAATAACCACCCGCAATGTCAGTCATAATGGTCATGGCAAATAATACTGGCGCGTACACATTCACGGTGTTTTATCACATATTCAAACAGTCTTCAATCTTTTCTTTAGACCATTTAGTAACCATTTACACCGAAGGAATAAATACCACAGTGATCATGTCCAACATCGCATGTGAAAAGGAATAATACATCAGAGAAACGTGACATTGATGTTTTGTTGACTTGGGTAGGCTTGCCTCAATCTCACAACTGATAAAGGGTGGTTGTGAAAAGCTGGGTAAACTTACACGATATCAGATCAGATAAGATTGATTGATCTTCGGAGGCTCCCACTCCAGCGAGGAATTATCCTAAAAGCTTATTCATGTTTCAGAGAGCGGAACGTTCATGAGACAGTGCTGTGGCTCCGATCGCGCGTTCACAATTCACATCGTAGACAATATTGGCCAGGTATGTGTCTCAAGGACGTTCTGTCACCACGAGTGAGGGAGTGAATTAACGAGTTAAAATGGATTGTTTGATTGTTTGTTGTTTAACGCCGCACTCAGCAATATACCAGCTGTATGACGGCAGTCTGTAAATAATCGAGTCTGGACCAGACAATCCAGTGATTGATATCATGAGCATCGATCCACACAATTGTGTGTGTGTGTGTGTGTGTGTGTGTGGTGGGGTTTGGGTGAACGTGGGACTTGTTATACGCTATTGATAACACTAGTTTCTGTCCGCATGTGCGTATATCTATTCTATTGCAGGAGGTTTTGCGCATGCGCCGTGACTTCAAGTGTTGTGGCGGATGTTGCTGGTGCGCAGATGCCGACTGCGCAGCTCATGAAGTGATAGTGGAAACAGCGAAAGGGGAGCCTCTTGGTTACGTCAGGCAGTTGTAAGTCCATACGTCATGCAGCTCTAAATCCATATCTAAGTTACGTCAGTCAGTTGTAAGTCCATACGTCATGCAGCTCTAAATACATATCTAAGTTACGTCAGGCAGTTGTAAGTCCATACGTCATGCAGCTCTAAATCCATATCACAGTTACGTCAGGCAGTTGTAAGTCCATACGTCATGCAGCTCTAAATACATATCTAAGTTACGTCAGGCAGTTGTAAGTCCATACGTCATGCAGCTCTAAATCCATATCACAGTTACGTCAGGCAGTTGTAAGTCCATACGTCATGCAGCTCTAAATCAATATCACAGTTACGTCAGGCAGTTGTAAGTCCATACGTCATGCAGCTCTAAATCCATATCACAGTTACGTCAGGCAGTTGTAAGTCCAAACGTCATGCAGCTCTAAATCAATATCACAGTTACGTCAGGCAGTTGTAAGTCCATACGTCATGCAGCTCTAAATCCATATCACAGTTACGTCAGGCAGTTGTAAGTCCAAACGTCATGCAGCTCTAAATACATATCTAAGTTACGTCAGGCAGTTGTAAGTCCATATCTTGGTCACCTCACCGCACTGTAAATAATGGATTCTGCACCAGGCCACGCAGTATGTATCTTCCAGAGGCAAGAGAGTTAACTGACTTTGAAAGTCCAGTTTCCACCCTTGGGAACTAGGCTGGAATTCCTGGGCTCGATCGTAGCACCACCAGTGGCTATTACCAATTATGTCCCTTCTAAGCCTCTCCTATGGACCAATCAGATTCCACCTCTCGTATCTCTTGATTTTGCTTCAAACAAAATGGCGGCGCCCAGTCAGGACGATCTGATCAATAGTCAAGATCTATATTGTGATATAACAGGTCTTACATCGTGAACTGCATCAAATCACGCGAGCACCTTGATTAAACATGTGCTTTGCAATCGACCCAAATCTACACGACACGAATTTCGTGGCGCGATTTTGATTGGACTATGCTTAGACTCGTTAGTCCAGCCAAAATGTAACTCCGTAATACCGTACAAGTTCGGCAAGGGTGGAAACTCGACTTTTATAGTCAGTTAACTCCCTTGCCCCGGAAAGATGCGCCGTCGGGTACGATGACACGAAATCAGTCACCGAGCCCGACCACCCAACCAATTTGGTCACCTTACAAGCATCGGTTAGTTTTCAAGGGACATCTCCACCATGGAGCCCACATAAGGATAAACTTGTGAAGGATGTCTTCATGAAGTGTACATGTTAAATTTCATTTCCATCCTAATTTGGGATACCTCATGTAGTCATGTACAATTGGTATATATGATTTGGTCGATTGTGCTGCAATCACAAGAATGTTCTACGACCACTCGCGTTTCCAGCTATATACAATGTTTATTTCTTTAATGTTGTTTTGCCAGACCGTCCAAGTGGAAGGGCCACTATGGTATCCTCGACAGCAGAAGAAACCAGCTGATGGAGATCTGGGGGCCATGTTGTGGTTGTCAGGGGTTGTGCTGTACCGATGATGTCGAGTTTCCGGTATGTCTCTGATTGATAAAAGCCATGAAAGTAATACCACTGATTGCGAGTTTCCGGTATGTCTCTGATTGATAAAAGCCATGCATGAAAGTAACACCGTTCATATCGAGTTTCCGGTATGTCTCTGATTGATAAAAGCCAGCATAGTAACACCGCTGATGTCGAGTTTCCGGTTTGTCTCTGGTTGATAAAAGCCAGCAAAGTAAAACCGCGGATGTTGAGCTTCCGGTATGTCTCTGATTGATAAAAGCCAGCAAAGTAACACCGCGGATGTTGAGTTTCCGGTATGCCTTCGATTGCTAAAAGCCAGGTTCATAATACCGCTGATGTCGAGTTTCCGTGTGGCTGTCAACTAATGAATATACAGTTATACCGATGATATCGAGTTTTCTCATGTGAAGGCCATTGTGTTTAGCGCCGCTTTGAAGACTGTAAAAACATGGCGTCCTCATGACTGAGGATTGTAAAACCACCGACATCCACTGTCTGGTAATAACAGCGATATCGAGTCCTTTAATCCATCACTTTTATAGTAATGGTGATACTCATCTACGTTCAAGCTGTGAGATTACGCCCAAAAGCCGAACACCACCCTATCACTGCACAAGTTTGAATTGGAGATGACCCGTGAAGAGCCGGGGTAGAATAGGTTTTCAGCAACCCATGCTTCCCGTAAAAGGCGTCTGTGCTTGTCGTAAGAGGCGGCTAACGGGATCGGGTGGTCAGGCTCGCTGACTTGGTTGATGCATGTCATCGTATCCCAATTGCGTGGATCGATGTTCATGATGTGTTTCACTGAATTGTCTGGTCCAGACTCGAATGTTTACAGACCGCCGTCATATAGCTGGAATATTGCTGAGTTAGGCGTTAACAACAATCTAACAAACAAATCAAATGGAGATTGCTGAACCAATTACTCGAAGTTTTAATTCAAATGAAGACAAAACCCATTGATGCCGAGAGGGCTTCAATTATCGACTTCAATTTCGGCAGCGACCATCCAATACCACGAGATGAGAAAGGATAGTTTCTCGCGCATCAATATCGCTTTCTCGTCGTGTTCGTGATAAGGCTTTATCACTTTCTGGCGACCGAAATTGAAGTCGTTAGCGATGTCCCCTCTCGGCCAACATGAAAACCACCAAATGCGCAGAAAATAGCTCAGTATACTGAATGATAAAACTTGCTATTTTTCCAGGTTCAATCCATGAAGGATGGTGCGGTTGTGTCAAAAATTAGCAAGCAGTGGGGTGGAGCTGTAAGGGAAATATTCACCGATGCAGAGAAATTCTCGGTCACATGTAAGTTAAAAACCTGCCGCAGCAATGCTTCTTATTTTACTCGTACGGATTTCACTTTCTTCAAAGCCTAAGGGTCGAAAATACAATGGCAATAGCCTTTACTTGAACTCATAGTATGGTCAAGTGCAGAACTTTGGCAAAATACACAGAAGGAAATCATGTGACCATGCCAGCTCTGTAGGTTCGAACCCGGACCAGAGTAGCCTAATAATATTTGTTATGACCATTGGTTTGTCCGAACTGTAAATCCACACATTCAGAGCATCGCATCCTGGACATGCTAACCCCTGAAGATCCTGGTTAGAACTGGTTTTGAGCAAGCCATGCTTTTCTTAAGAGGAGACAAACGGGGTCGGGTGAACTGGCTCGCTGACTTGGTTGATACAACTGCGTAGATCGATGCTCGATCGGTTCAGATTCGATTAGTAACAGACCGCCGTCATGAGGGCGGCGCTAAACAACAAACAGACAAACATGCACACCCAAAAATGTAAAACACCCCCGATATGGAATAATCTCTTTATCTTCAGTTCCCCAAGACCTTGATGTGAAGGTCAAGGCAACGCTGATGGGCGCGGTATTCCTCATCGTAAGTGTTTGAACATGTCTACATTGGCTGCTGTGTGAGAGAGTGAACAAGGTTTTACGCTGCTTTTAGCTATATTCCAGCAATATCAAGACGCAATATTCACGCATTGTACCCATGTGGGGAAACAAACCCGAGCCTTAGGCGTGACGTGTGAACGCTTTAACCACTGGGCTACCCTACTGCCTCTTTTAGCTGCAAAACGTCAGACAATTTTAACAAGCCGGTAACAAGTCGCATGATTCTTCGGAAACATTCTTAATAATGGCCATCCTCAACCATCCAGGGTATTATATCACCACTCCATATATATAACGTTACATAGCCTGGAGACATTTGCTACCATAGATACATTTTGAGTCTGATGTCCATGACATGACAGTAAGAAACTACATTGTACGTCAAATCAACAGGTGGAGAAATATTGTTCGAAGATTAATTTATTTTCCTTTGTGACGTCACTGCTGCAAAAAGGATATCGTAGCGAATGGGTTCAAGGTCTTTAACACAAGAGAATAATCGGGGAAGGATAATGACGTAATGTCTCTTTTTACAGCACTTCATGTATTATGAAGAAGAGGAGTCATCGAACTAAGTGAGTAAAAATGTGGAATAACTATAGACATGTAAATGAGAGAAAATGTTTAACTTTTTTAAGATGAGAAAAATATGGTATGTGTTAGGAAAATACGAATGTCATATTAACTTTAGTTTCAAGAAAGAAAATATATTTAAATACATGGGAGATACACGTTTATAAGATAAATCCATTTTTGACCAATTATTCTACACGAGTAAACCGCTGATCATCTATAACCCGCATCAATTATTTGGACCCCGAAGGCAGCGTTGTAGCGAGGGATCACTGTATGAATATTTCTAATTTTCAGACCGATGACACCCTCATACAAGACATCAATCAACAGTCAAAGCATATCAAAGATGTTTCTACTTGTATCCTAGCTAACTGCATCTACATGTTTGACAGGGCACACGATTTTATTTGAATCTTTGTACCCTGACTGTATATACGTGTATATCATTATGAACGAAAACCTATTCTTGTACTATCTCGTATCGTTTAGTGTGTGTGTGGCCATTTGTCACCACTCGTACCTTTTCGTAAGTAATCTGCAAGACAATCGTCCCCCTATCGATAAAAAGCGAAAACACGATACTTTCCTCCTCAATATTTGTTATCATATGTTTAATCATATTAGTGGAAAAAGTTCATCAACGGTGTTATATTTGTCGGCGATGAGGAAGAATGATGTTGGATGATAAATAAAATTTCACCCTCGTGTCTTTTGATATCAAATATATCAACACTCGTTGATAAAAGTGGCAAAGCCTCGGAATTTTTTCCACTTTTATCAACTCGGGTTGATATTTGATATCAAAAGACACTTGGGTGAGATTCTCTATTTATCTACATTGCGATATACAGAATTTATCAGTAATTTCAGAAGCAGTCTCTCGCTACATGAATTCCTACAGTTATATGCCAGACATAACGTCACGCTGGAATGATATGACGTCACGCTGGAATGATATGCGCTATTATGCTAAAATGGAGAGAATTATCACAAAAACATAAAAATTAAAGTATTCATGCAAAGTACGTTCACTGCCCTCATATTTTCCTGACGAGGTGACTTTACCAAGCACGCTGTCATATGACAACGACCTCAGATGAAATCATTAAATCTGTGTTGGACGTCACAAAAGGTGTTAGAAGCGCCGTACAATCATTCACGCTAGCGACGTAAGCGCATTACAAATATCCATAAAGCAGCAGTGAAAGTAGAAGTAACTGTAGAAGTTTTTCGATGCACTAGTTTCAGATGGTTATAATCAATCCGTTGAAGCATGCTCAAAGCGCTAACACCATCATTACCCCGGTCAGTGGATCAGTGTTCACTTGATCCGGGGTAGAATAGGTCTTCAGCAACCCATGCTTGTCGTAAAAGCGACTATGCTTGTCGTAAAAGGCGACTAACGGGATCAGATGGTCAGGCTCGATGACTTGGTTGATGCATGTCATCGTATCCCCGTTGAGAAGATCGATGCTCATGATATCAATCACAGGATTGTCTGGTCTAGACTCGATTATTTTCAGACCGACGTAATAAAGCTGGAATATTGCTGAGTGCGGGGTTAAACAACAAACAAACAAACAAAACTAAAATGGTTTCAGATGTTTCGGTTTGTAAAACAGGTATGACACTGTCCCTCGGTTTTGGTAAAAAATGTAAATGCTCGGGGTAGAGTTTATCATACGTAACACATGTTTGGAGACATAACGCCTGGATAATGGTCAAAATCAGTCAGTGATTACAAGGCAGCACTGTTCAACGCATCCTCTATTATCCAGGGTAATATATCCCTGATAAATACCCTGGCTCCATTCCTTAGCACTGCGTCGTCTCGGAAGTCACGTCGCCAGTCTTATCACTAACGTAGCACTGAATTACCTCGCTTTTGAACTTGAAATCAACAACCATTCTCATTCTTTGAGGTTAATCAACATGTCAAAATTATAAAGTATAAAGGGGAATAGTCAGGTAAAACATGTCTATTTGTGTCAGTATAAATTAACCGAGAAGAGAAAAGATTGTTGGGCATTAAAAGTGAAAAATCTTTCGTTTAGTAGAGGATTTGGATCAGTTTGGACTTCCCAGGGTGTGGAACATATTTCACAGTTTATTGCCAGTTTTAAACAACGATGTATTGACATTGATCATCCACAGGGAATGAAAACTAAGAAATTTAAGTTTGATAGAAAGATAAGTATGTTATAATTTTGAAAATGATTTATCACCCGTCTATGTCAAGGTCTATTGTATTTCGCAATGTAAGTTCAGGTGTTCTAATCATGGACTTATGATTGAGGAGGGGAGAAAACAAAATATTTCACCAGATCACAGATTATGTCCTCGGTGTATTGTATCTGTGCAAGAACCTGAATTTCATTTCATGTTTGGGTCTTCCGTCTATGAAAACTTAAGAAAAGCAATTTTGTTCAGGTAGAGAGGATTTTGATATTTTGGAACCCTCCCTATTAAAAATGCTCGATCCGCCCTTATTATAGACCAACTGGGTTGGAGAACACCCGTTTCTGGAGTAAAAAATAAGACTCAAAAACGTAAAATGCTTCGCGGAAAAACGCACGCGAAATCCGTGATTCGAAGTCCGGCTGTGGCTTCCAAATGCATGCACTAATCAGTCGAGCCTGGGTTGTCAAAGGGGCAACATATCCATTATTCCCGGTAAGGGATGTTTGTTGGGCTCGGCTCAAAGCTGATCTTGGTTAGGTCAGACTGTTGTCAGATGGGCAACAGGGGAAACTAGTCCCAGTAAGGGACCTTGAATTTATATTTGACAGAACCAACTGTTAACAAAAGCAAACAACATGTCTCAACTGTTTGGGAGACGATTGTAAATACATTTGTATATACTTGTGGGTTAATTAAAGGTATAAAAGTTAATTTTGTCTTGTCATTTTGGATGGTTAACTAATCATCACTTCACCAACTTTCAAAATCGCGGTTTCGTCTGAGCGATTCCTCGATATATTACTCGAATAAGAAGACTGTTGTAGTTATCTTTTTACCATGTTTTCCTGAGTATTAAGACAGCTGAAATAAATTCCTTCTGCTACAAGACTTGTATTTGAGGTTGTACTTGAGACGGCATGCAAAAGTCGAGTCGAATACTGGCGATATGGACATGTATTTCAATCCCGAAAGAACAGTGCCATTTGATTGGACGTCTGACTTAGATCGTGTGAATCGAACGGGACTCAAGACAAAGATATTGTGGCGAATGGGTCCAAGGTATTTATAATAATGGAATTGAGATATAATGCACTGGATAAAGTAATTGAGGATGCCTGCAACAGGGCCTGCATTTGTGGAGGTGTGACATGAAAGGGACACACACAGCCGTAAAAAACGCGTTTCATCCAATATCGATCATGGATGTTTGAATATGTTCGTTTTTACAACCAATTATTTTTCTTAAGTGTACACGTATGTTCTTATGTAGCGACTACGCTCGTCGGTCTGTTCTCCATTTCAAGTCTCAAGGCTGTAATCATAGCAACGGTAACCGTATCTCTGTGATGCTCCCGATAAACGATTTTGATACACAGAGCTACGGGTTGTTCAGTTGTGTTTTCCTGGTAGATTCCCGATGGGGAACAAACCGCACTAACAGCCCTGTCATAAAGGACATGAATCGTCAGCCCACGAAGACTAGTACTGCAACATGATTGTCCCTTGAGTGGAAATGTGACACTATTTCTTCGGAATTGGGTAACCATTATAATTGCTGTCAGATAACAGAACTTAAGCAAGCTGCAGATAAAATTATTTTTTAAAATTAAATTAAAATTATTCTAACTGCATACCAACTGGTTTTAAGGACACCGCAACTGTCATTGTATATGTGCATGTAGTTGCCTCCCTTTGTTGCACCAGGAGCTGCTGGTTTTATGGGTTCAATTCCCTAATTCGCTATTAATGCGATCTTAGTTAGTTTCAGCACAGAGGTCAATGTCTTCGGCCTTAGATGACACGCCGTAATGTTGGACTTCGGTTCAAACTGCCCCGTAATAGTACAAGTGTAGTGAAGGCGACTAACGGGATCGGAAGGTCAGGCTCGCTGACTTGGTTGATGCATGTCATCGATTCAAATTGCATGAATTGATGCACATGATATCAATCATTGGATTGTCTGGTCCAGACACGATTATTTACAGACCGCCGTCATATAGCTGGAATATTGCTCAGTGCGGCGTTAAACAACAAACAAACCAACCAACAAGTATGGTGACAAGGTGCGATGAAACGTATGTGTTGGTTTCTTGTGTACCGGTCCAATGGTCCAGATACATGGCGGCGGTCTGTAAATAATCGAGTCTGGATCAGTCTGGATGATGAGCATGGATCTACGCAATTTGTATAGTTACCAGGTCAGGGAGCCTGATCACCCGATCTCGTTAGTCGCCTCTTACGACAAGCATGGGTTGCTGAAGATCAATTCTAACCCGGATTTCCAGGAATGGGTACAGTAAAACGATGTTCCCGTGTTGTACTCATCGCCGCTGATTGAGTGAGTGAGTGAATGAATGAGTTGGGATTAACGCCGCTTGTAACAGTATTCCAGTTATATCGCGGCGTGTCAGCTTTAATGTGGGAGGAAAGCCCGAAGTGATGCAGGTCTCCGACGTTTACCACTTCGGTGAAACCCACGAGCACGGGTATGGTGCTGACAAACCTAGAAACATAATCGGGGTGAACCGGGATTCGAACCCACAATCATAGGTTTCTGGCGTGCCCAAGGGACGCAACTCTGCACAGCGAATCGCGGCGCCTCAGACGACTGGGCCCCCCGTGCCCCCATCGCCGCTGATTGATATCAGCTGGTCTCGGTCTCGATTGTTAGTGAAGAGGATTGCACGTTTCATCCAGCGTGACATTTCAGAATGACCAGACAGTTTTAACAATGGGCGTGATTAAGTGGGGAGACAGGAGTCGGGTTTCTGTGACATCGCTCACAGTGCGTGCTAAGCCTACTGGACTATCTTCTCAAAGCCAATCTATATGTTAATACTGTAATACCATAATATCATTCGTCTAGCCTCCCGGAGAGGGAGTGCTTGTGTTTCGGGAGGGGAGGGATATATATATATATATATATATATATATATATATGATATAGCTAGCTTCTTTAAATACCCTCAGAGCACTTTATGAGAACTCTGACAGGCTTAACGTAAACATATATCAATATAAAGCTTGCCAAAACCCAACGATCAAATGAACTCTATTGATATCTATTAATGTTGTCTGGCTGAATATAGGTAGTTTTAGGAAAGTTTTGTGTTGTCGGTTTGTATTTGGTTCTGACCAAATTTTAATTATCGTAAGTCCATACAGTGAAACCGTATTTGTATGTGAATCCCGCGCTTCGGGCGAGTAGCGAAGGGACGGCTTAAAAAGGAAAGACCTCATGCAAGTTTCAGGATGGTTATGTAAAAGACACGACTGCCTGGAGGTCATGAAGCCTGCTTTGTTATTTGGATCATACTCCTGGACTACAGCATCCTGGTGTTTGTGTGTTTATTGTTTTACGCCGCATCCCTCAATATTCCAGCGATATGATGGCGGTCTGTAATTCTTCGAATCTAAACCAGACAATCCAGTAATTGTCATCATGAGCATCGATCTACGCAATTGGGATACGATCATCAACCAAGTCATCGTTTGAGTGAGTGAGTTTGAACCTTATTTAAGCTCCATGTGCGAATATCGCAGGGTATATGTTACCAGTTGTAATTTAACCTATTTGTGTGTTTGTTGTTTGACGCCACATTCAGCAATATTCCAGCTTTATTGACATGAAAATCGATATACGCAACTGAGATGCGATGAGATGCGATGAGATGCGATGACATGCATCAACCAAGTCAGCGAGCCTGAACACCCGATCCCGTTAGTCGGATCCTACAAGCATAGTCGCCCCTAACGGCAACCCCTAATGGGTTACTGAAGACCTATTTTAAAATGTAAGTTGTCACTTGTACAGTGTAGAAGGGTATTTGGAAATTTATCAAAACCTCGTGGATCCTTACATTCTGTAAGGCATGATAACAATACCTCACGACCGGGCCCGTATTAACAAAGCGATCGAAGGGCAAAGTCTACGTTCAAGTATGGCAGTAGCGATAGCGTAGTTGCGCAGATCGATGCTCAGCGCTACGATCGTTTAAGGAGCGGATCTCGGGAACGAAACTCTCTCGAAAGCTGTACCACGAATCGAAGGAATACAAAACTCAAAAGAAATCAGAATAAGTATTTATTTTATCCCAACCATGTGCATTCGTCAGCCATTATATGCACGTATCAACTAATCCTATTTAACACGTGAGATCTCCGATATCATTTATAAACATAAATGGTTAAACCGCTTATCGTAACAGTTTAAGTTTTAACTACAAAGATAATTTGACATTCCACGCAGATATTGCTCTTTCCAAAATTAAGATGTTTGTTAAAGAAGATAAATTTCAACGGGTAAAATATGAATTTTGCAATCAAAAGAAATCCAGTGTCTCTGAAGCATTGGTGTGCCTGTCACAATCGTCATAAAAAAATATCACAAATCATCACTGATGCCGTTGAATATACTCCATGAAATAAGACAAATGTCAACCTGCAAAAAGTGTGACGAAGACTACAATCTGTAAAGAAGGCAACGAAAAATGGCTGCAATATTGCCGATGCGGTGACAATTTTAACTCACTCATAAAAAAAAGTCGTGGGTATAAATGATCTTGTGTGAATGGTTCTCTGACAAAATTGTTCGAATCGAAACAAATATGGCGTCGTATCACAAGATGGCGACACAAAATAGCCTGTGGAGTTGCGTCCCTTTACCCGTAGGCACGCGCTTAATTCTGATTTCCGGATTCGTTGGGAAGGCAGTAGAAGGAGTAGGTGAGGTAGTTACTGGGACCTGGTTTTATGTTGCCAGTCTGCTGACAGGACGTCCCTTCGCGGCACTGACAGCTGAAATGAAAGCAAATAACAGAAATGTATTTTTTTGAAATGCATTTTGAAGTCACCATTGTCAAATGCTTCACTTCCTCGCAAAGAAAAGAAATATGCACACACCATGTTTTGACAGCACATTTTCAGATTTGTAAATTTGTAACAATAAATGTCATGTACGTAACGTCTTCCAGAACAATAATTTGAAAAAGAGAAAAAAACATTTTTATAATATTTTTTAAATTCACGGAAGTGGCGTCAATCATCGTCCGCCATGTTTCGCGCCGACATGAATCTGTGTCAGTATTGAAGAGCAACGCCATCATGTTATCTCTCGAAAACGTTGTAGAGAGATAATAACGGAATCCTCATGTATTCAAGGTATATCATGGCATGCCCATTCATTTCATGTACACGTGAAGAGTGGAACCCACACATTGGGGGTGATCAAACAACGCTATTACCTTCCATCGTATGGAGTGTTTCATTAGAACCAGATAGAAAATTTATACTTGTATGGTACACCCGTGAAGATCCGGGGTAGAATAGGTCTTCAGCAACCCATGCTTGCCGTAAAAGGCGACTATGCTTGTCGTAAGAGACGTGTAACGGGATCGGGGGTTCAGGCTCGCTGACTTGATTGATGCATGTCATCATATCCCAGTTGCGTAGATCGATGTTCATGGTATCAATCACTGGATTGTCTGGTCCAAACGCGATTGTTTACAGACCGTCGTCATACAGTTTGAATATTGCTGAATGCGACGTAAATAAAACAAACAAATTATAATAAGAGATACGCTATTTAGAGTCAGGCTACACGCAAAAACATGTAACTGTTAATTGTTAGATATATACCGCTTTAATTATGTACTGACCGCTAATACAGAGTCCCCCTACACTATCGTTTGGATTCCTGGTCAGAATAAATATATAGTTTCCTGCCGGTTCAGCTTTTTTGAAACAACAGAAAAATACAGTAAAAATACAAGTAAATGTTCACTATCATGTCCGACGTACTTTTGATCGTGTTTCATATATACCTCATTAAGAGGGAGTATACTGACCGAGTATTGAACCCAAACTATCAGAGATAAAGCTAGCTTATCCTCATTCACACAGCGATTCTAATCACTTTGATGAAAGGGCAACGAACACGACCAAGTCCAAAATAATGGATTCTGTTCCAATTTGGCTCCGGGCTGAAATTATACTCAGCATTATGAAAACTCTTAGATATCCTGGGTGGAAATACAGATTCTTAATATCTCCAAACCGAAAATTCATTATCCTACTTTTGTTTCTGCTAATAGCTTTCCCTTTCATGAATCCCTGTGCTTCTACTTGTCACTTAGCATTGTCTCCGGGAAGTTCGACTCATGGTCAACGCATGGGGGTGTCGCCATTTCATTACTCAACGTTGGATGCGTGGTATTAGGGTAATACACATGTGTTTGTACAATATTCACATAATTAGCTCCTCACAGCTCCACGGTGATCATTATTTAACGGAAATGTCGTGACAGCAAGGGTGTTGGTGGAGTGGGGAGTAACGGTTCTTAGATGACTTGGCGTTTATTAATAACGGCGTCAAACACGGGTTAACTCTGAAAAAATATGTAACTGTCATGAAAACGACTTGAAACCCTAATTTACCATGTAGTGACGACGCGTATCGTGAGATGAAGGATCTTGGTTGTTAAAAAAAGACTTAGTACTCCTGCCAAATCAAAATAAAAGTATGATCTTATACATGTATATCCATTACAGTGTTAAGATCAGTGCAGATGGAATATACACGAGGGAATGCCCCTGGAAAATAATTACAAACAACAGGTACAAACAACCCAATCAAAGATACAGCATTCAATTATACAGCATTCAATTATACAGCATCCAACGAATACCTCAATAATATACACGTAAAGGATTTTGAATTTAGTGGAAATATGGATACCATGAGAAATTATCTATCTTATTGGCAAAATGTTTAGCTCTTTTTGTTTGGAATTCTTCAGGCGGTCTTGAGTGATGGTGGTCTATATATGATAATTATAGGAATATTATTTTTTTTTATTGGAAACAGTATCCCCTTAGATTCCTGTCGACGTGGTATTGTACAGGGTTGTAAAAACGTGGGATCAAGGGTGTTCTTTATTTTCTTTTGAGTAGTATCAATGACAAGTATTCCTTTTAACAAAACTGTAAAATATGATCACGGGTTGGATTCATGGGTCTCAAACATTAACATAAACCAGCAGAATTCGATCTGTATTCAAATATTTTATCGCTCCCATTTTAAGACCAGAAAGGAGGCACGGGTGTCCAGTCGTCTAAAACACCGGAGTTGGCTGTGTGTTGCGTCCCTTGGACATGCCAGGAGCCTGTGATAGTGGGTTCGAATTCAGATTCGCCCTGATTATGTTTGTTGAATTGTCAGCACCGTTTCCGTGTTCGTGGGATTGCAAAAGGTGACGAGCGTCTTAGAACCTGCGTTATGTCTGTCTTTCTTCCGTGATAGTACTAAAATTATGTTCCACACTCACCCCACTGTAGCAACTTTCTGCAGCAGTTGTGTTAAGTGTTCTATGATTTCTTTTCTAACACACGTGAATGGTATAATAATATATATATATATATATATATATATATATATATATATATATATATATATATATATATATATATATATCGCCACATTCAGCAATATTCTAGCTGCATGGCGGAGGACTGTAAATAATCCAGTGATTGACTTCATGAGCATGGACCTACGCAATTGGGATACGATGACATGCATCAACCAAGTCAGCGAACCAGACCACCCGATCCCGTTAGTCACCTCTTACGACAAGCATGGGTAGCTGATCGTAGACCTATTCTAACCCGGATCTGCGGAAGGATCGGGGCAGAATAAGTCGTTAGAAGTCGAAATAGATGACTAGAATGTTATAAATTGATAACAAGTATTTATTTTCTTTCTTTTTCTATTTTGTTGTCTTTAATAGGCATGTAGAAGTTAAGGTGAGGTGAGGTGAAATTGGGTTTAACGTCGCGTTCAAGATTATTGCACTTATATAGCGACGTGCATGCACGTGTATGTGTGTGTGTGTGGCTGCTTGTACTAGTCCGGACTGATGCCGATTTATAGTGCTAGCTCACTGAGATACCATGCCGCAGTTTAACATGAATACCCCACTCAGACACAGTATACTGACTCCGAGCCGACCAGTCCTTGTTTTAGCCCCTTAATGCCGAGCGCCAGACAGGGTAACAACAAGTACAATCTTTTAACGTCTTTTTGTATGACGCGGCCCGGGATCGAACCCAGGACCTTCCGCTCTACCACTAGACCACGGAGGCGGTCGTAGAAGTTAAGAACATGAATACATGAATATTTTTTTATGGAGCCAACTTCTTTTATTCTTTATCACGACGTCAGAAGTACGTCATGCTCTTATTTAGCATTCACCAGGTGAAGGAGCAAGTTACTCTGAAACGTCGTGGCAAAGAATAAAAGAAGTTGCTATCCATAAAACGTGTCATATATTCATATTATTTTGTTGTTATTTCTACGATGATGTCCACGCCTGCAGGGGCGGTCGGGTAGCCCAGTGGTTAAAGCGTTCGCTCGTCACGCCGAAGACCCGGGTTCGATTCCCGACATGGGTACAATGTTTGAAGTCCATTTCTGGTGTCCCCCGCCGTGATATTGCTGGAATATTGCTAAAAGCGGCGTAAAACCATACTCACTCACTCACTCCATGCCTGCACGCACCGACATATACTTACTCATAGTCCAGGAAGTTACAGAAGGTCTCGTCCACCCTCAGAGCTGCCCTCCACCTGCACACAGCCCACATACACGGGGTACTCGCTCCACACTGACGGGGGCTCACCGCCTGGGACAGCCCCAACACCTGCAATGTATATACCCTGGATTATTGGTTGGTTGGTTTGTTGTTTAACGCAGTATTCCAGCTATATGACGGCGGTCTGTAAATAATCGAGTCTGGGCCGGACAATCCAGTGATTAATATCATGAGCATCGATCCACGCAATTGGGATCAATGACATGCATCAACCAAGTCAGCGAGTCTGACCACCCGATCCCGTTAGTCGCCTTTTACAGACAAGCACAGTCACCTTTTACGGCAAGCATTGGTTGCTGAAGGCCTATTCTACCCCGGAATCTTCACGGGTCCCTGGATTATTGGAAACTGCCGGGCAGTATACCCCCATGTTTGATGGCGGCTGATAATGACACAAACAAGAAATGGTTATTTGATGGTGTATTTGATACAGGAAACGCTGTGGTGTTTTGGACTATAAGCTTACGGTGTTTCGGCAACTGTTTTCAGTCTAGTGGGTTACTTAATCTGAATTGCAAGTGTATGCTTTCGTTTTACCTGCCGTTTACACATGGGGACACATTAATACATTTCAAACATCGTAGGGGTCATGTTGTTATAACTTTTTTTTTTACCCCAGTCGTCATTGAACCGATTTACTTCAAAGTATTTTATTTCTACGTATTATCTAATTTTTATAATAACCATTCACACCCCACGATGATGGCCTAGTTGCTTTCAATCTATTCTTTATCACAATTTCCGAAAAGAGACACCACCGCCCTTCACGCAAAGCTGACACTCGGTGCAAAAGAGACGATAGTTAACACAAAAATGGTCTTGTCCATAAGTGTACATGTTACGACTTCGCTCCCGATTACCTCATACAACAGGAGATTGTACCAGGAACAATCGATATGATTCCGCATCTGCCCTTATTTTCTTCTCCACTGTGACGTGGAGCTCGCTAACGCACAAAAGAAAAATAGTATTTGATTGGCAGAAATCACGCTGAACAGTCGTGTATTATATAAAACAGCGAAGGCGATGTTGGTTGGTTGGTTGGTTGGTTGGTTGCTTTGTTGTTTAACGCCGCACTCAGCAATCTTCCAGCTATATGACGGCGGTCTGTAAATAATCGAGTCTGGACCAGACAATCCATTGATTGATATCATGAGCATCGATCCACGCAATTGGGACACGATGACATGCATCAAACCAAGTCAGCGAGCCTGACCACCCGATCCCGTTAGTCGCCTCTTATGACAAGCATGGTTTTCTGAAAAAATCTAACCCTGATCTTCACGGGTCATCTACTGTTGTAAATAGCTGTTGCTGCTGCGAGAACAGAATCACAAAGATCTTCACACAGATATAGTTCGAGTTACTTTATATCATATTTGAAAAAAACTTAATCGTTTTCAGTCAAATTGCTGGGCAAAAGAAATATACACTTGAAAACAGAATTTGACCCAAACCGTACGTTATCAAAATGATACTAGTCTGAAAACAGTCGCCGAAACACTGCATCCTTTGGGTCCAAAACCTAACTATGGCACCCGTATCAAATCATTACCATCGAATAACAATTTCTTGTGTGTTTCATTTTGAACCACCATGAAACATGGGTGTATACTGCCTTTCAGTTACTTTATACAATGGAAGATTATACCAGGAACAATCGATCTGTTTCTATTGTCTACTCTCACAACACACACCAGAAAGTACGCACTACAACAATTGGCAGTACTGACGGTGAACGGTCGTGTGTGATACAGAACAGCTAGACTAGGCGATGCTCAGTCATTGGGATACACCATGTAACTAAAGTATTAATACCATTGTTGAGTCTTAAATAAAGATACATGTATGTCAGGTACTGAATGTGGACTGGAGCTACTTTGGTCTTATTGTTATACTTTATATCTCCACCATACATAATTTTCTTAACATACGTTGTGGACATCTGGCCATTTCCAGCAAAAACGCCAAGGAGAGGTACAAATATATTACAAAAAGTACCATGTTGGTCAAATTCGTATGAACATTACGTTTATTAACTCACTCATCGGGGGCACGGGTGGCCCAGTCGTCTAAGGCGCCGCGATTCGCTCAGCAGATTTGCGTCCCGGTTCGCCGCGATTATGTTTCTGGGTTTGTCAGCACCGCACAGGAGCTCGTGGGTTTCACCGACGTGGTAAACGTCTGAGACCTGCATCACTTCGGGCTTTCCTTGCAAATGAAGCTGACACGCCGTGATACAACTGGAATACTGTTAATGCGGCGTTAAAACCCAACTCACTCACTCACTACTCACTTCTCATGGTTATTTATAAAGTAACCTGCCGGGCAAAAGTAAGCATACACTTGATGATTGGATTTGGCCAAAAAATGCAAACGTTACCAAAATGTTATTTGTCTGAAAGCAGTCGCCGAAACACTGCAACCTTAAAGTTCGGAACACAACTTTGAGCCTCGCATCAAAACCATCACCATCGAATAACCTTTTCTTGTTTCTTGCCTTTCTAGCCACCACCCAATATAGATGTATCCTTTCTTTTGCTCGGCAGTTTAGATTCAAAGTTGAGCTTGCTAATGGTTGATTGTTTTCATTCTAACAATGGAATCCCCACTAATAATAGGCTTAATCTCCTGTTTTCATTATTTCTGTATTTTTATTCCGTAATAATTGTGTATCTGTTGATCGTTTATGTCCAAATGAGTAGCATATTGATAAGCTACTTGAGTAAACACTGGCGTGAATTCGCTATTTGTAACTTTAAACGATACCCGCATTTACCCCAATGGTATGATTACCAGTGAAAATGGTTTTACGCCGCCTTTAGCAATATTCCAGCAATATCACGGCGGGACACGAGAAATGGGCTCTACACATTCTACCCACGAGGGACATCGAAACGGGGTCTGACGCGTGACGAGCGAACCCTTTAAGCAGAAGGCTACCTAACCGCATAGTTGTGATTACGTAGAAAGAAAATGGTACAAAGCTCAAAATATTTTCCTTTTCCCTTCTAAACCCGAACATGTTCAACATGGCCGACTCAGAAACCTATGACGGACAAAGTTGATAAGTTGTATATAAAGGTGGATGCCAATAAGATTTTTAAGCACACTATGTCACCATTTGAAACCGTTATATTTGCTCTTCGGTGCACCCTGACAATTTCTTCAGTTATTTTAAGCAAGGACGTGGAAGAGTTCGTCTTGATAATATTTTAGTTTAACCCTCGTGGGATTCCGTGTAAGAATTGGTCCAAGCAACGTATGCTGGTCGTAAGAGATGGCCAAACGGATAGGTGGTCAGGCTCGGTGACTTGGTTGATTGAGTGTCATTGTACTCAGGGGGCGTGGTTCTTGGTTCAACAATATTGACCACCGGATCACCGGTCCAGGCTAGATTATGCCCTATGCAATTCCCTATTTTGAATTGTATCATATGCTCCCGTGTTTTTTCAGTATTGACATGCATTTGCATGTGTTTGTGACGGGTGTCACCGGTGGGGCAGGATACGCTCACCTTTTTGCGAACACCTGGTATCATCACTATTTGATAGTGATTCATAAACACATGCTCATGATTTAGTCGGAATCGTACTATCGACTCAACTTTATGCAGAGATTTCTATTGGTTATGGAAATGATTTTGTCGTTTTATTTACAGGCTATCGTCATACAACTGGAATATTAGTGAGTGCGGCATTGAACACCAGACTACCCATCATAATGATGTTGATGAATGCATAACTTTGCGCTGAGAGACCAAGGATCATAATCGGAGCGAATCTGGGAATCAAACGGATCCAAGTAGCAAAGGGATGCAACTAAGCACAACAGATTACGACGCGTCTGACCACTGGCCCACAATTTACCCCTGAAACCATTTAAGGAAAAAGGGATCAACTCACCGTGTTTATGTTGTTGGCGTGAGAAGCCACCAGGACTGACAGAAGAAACGACAGCACTTGGGTGAAAAACTTCATGGCGGAAAAAGGTCTGCAGTGATGTTGATGTAAAGCGTGTTCGTGCCGGCCACTTGTGTTCTCTCAACGTCAAATCAAAACCCTCTTTTATACATGTTTGCTGGACACAGATAATTATGCTATCTGTGACTATCTTCGTTAGGATTGGATCCCTCACAGAAACCTTGACGCCGGTCAACATTGTCGTGTAAGGGAGGCATTTGGAACAGCCAATTATAAGTGCTAGATTTTGTTGAGGCAATGGTAAAAAAAAGTAGAAATATTACTCGAAACATGAATGTAAAAAATAAAAATAATAACCTAACGCAATCATATCGTAGAAATGATTTGTACTTCTTGAGTGTTATATCGATTACTGGATATTCTTAACTGAGATCGCGAGTTTTATTCGAATTGCGCACGGCCATGTCTTCTCGAATGACGCGGATCATTATCAGCACATCAGGTAATGTGGTCATTAGTAGGTAACAAAATAGAAGCTAACACTATGTGATAATAGCATTGTGCCTTCTATTATGTTAGAGAGGTCAGGGTGTGTCTATCCTTGAAGCCAGCGCAGTGTCTTATGAACAGAACTTAAATGGTTTCGTGAATGAAGCAAATCACTCAAATACTCGATTTCTGAATAATGCTGGCTCCTAACGTCTTTGATCTACACGCCACGTTAACAATCACAGATATAGGTCAGTGCTTGTTCCCTTTTATTGCACATATACTGAGTATAGGTTTTAAGGCGCATGCGAACAAAATCTCACTTTATTTTCAGTTGCCTAAATTACTTATTTATTCCGAAACTCAGGTACACTGCTCTGTACATGTATTCTTATTCCGGTGTCTTCGAATTGATGCCAGATACAAATTTCAAGTGTTGTGGCGATGGTTTTGAAGAATGTAGGTGACTGTATGTTGTCCAACGCGGCATTTAACTATAGTTTACAATACACCTCAGTGACACACTGGTCATTGAGACGCCTCGGACAGACACCTTAGAGAGAGACCTCGGTGAATAAAAACACCTCAGTGAGACACATCAGAGAGACATCACAGAAAGACACGTGTGTATAACATATTTCAGTGAGACACATCAGAGAGACACCACACACAGAGACACGTTTGGATGAAATATTTCAATGCGACACATCAGAGAGGCATCACATAGAGACACATGTGAATGAAATATTTCAATGAGACACATCAGAGAGGCATCACATAGAGACACATGTGAATGAAATATTTCAATGAGACACAACAGAGAGACATCACAGAAAGACACGGGTGGATGAAATATTTCAAAGAGACACAACACACAGAGACACGTGTGGATGATATATTGCAAAGAGACACAACAGAGAGACACCACACACAGAGACACTTGTGGATGAAATATTTCAATGAGACACATCAGAGAGATATCACAGAAATAGCCCATTATTATTTTATCTGCCGTAAGTTTATTTTATCATCATCCAAGATGGCGGCATACTTTTCCATAGATAATTAGCGCCCTCATGCTTTAACTATAATAGTTCAAGGCAAAACTACACTATATTACACAACACATGGGGGTAGAGCAAACTTTATTTCTTAACACAGCGATCTATCATCTCTACACGTAATGTCATTGAATAAACCCAGGGCTGTTGTGAGTTTTCAATATTTGTCAGTGAAACCCGTTCCCGCGGTATATTAGCAGCGCTTTGCTATGAAACACTGTGTAATACCAGCTTGTTGTTATAAAACTGTGGTATCTTCAACGGGCAAGTAATAAATTACCGTTTGTTATGCTGTCCGACAAGTCAAACGTCAATGACCTGGATTCCACACGTTCAGCCAGCCTGATTCGGTTTAAAAACTCTGCTAATATCAAATGACAGAAAAGGCCACAATTATCTATATGTCCACGTTATATTCGTCGCGTGTTCACAAATCACATCGTAGACAATAGTGGCCAGGTATGTGTCTCAAGGACGTATTGTCACCACGAGTGAGGGAGTTAATTAACGAATTAAATTTGCTTGTTTAATTGTTTGTTGTTTAACGCCGCACTCAGCAATGTATGACGGCGGTCTGTAAATAATCGAATTTGAATCCAGTGATGGATATCATGAGCATCGATCCACCCAATTGGGATCTATGACATGTATCAACCAAGTCAGCGAGCCTGCCCACCCGATCCCGTTAGTCGCCTCTCAAAAGCATAGCCGCCTTTTATGGAAAGCATGGGTTGCTCAAGACCCATTCTACCCCGGATCTTCACGGGTCCTGTTTCCTGTGTATTTCAAGGTGTAATGTTGAGGTTTTCGCCAGTACCATGACTTTGGTCATAAACAAAATCATAGGGCAGCATAGTCAAACTGACCCAGTATACAACAGACTTGAATAATACTGAATGTCTGCTGTTCGATCAAAGGTTTCATCATTGCCATTTAGAATAACTTCCCTCACTTTCGTCCTTGACTTTGTACGCCATGTGTGTACGCAACGGCACATTCGCGAGAAGACCATTTCAAGCAAGAATAGTAAAGCATCTTTCTCACATTATTTCAGTTCTAATAGGTAAGGTGTAGTAACAATATTTATAACATTTCTCCTTTTCGAAAAATGTCTTTACATGGCACGCGTATGCTACAAAGAAAAGCATCAACGACTAGAGTTAGCGAGTATGGTTTTAGCAATATTCCAGCAATATCACGGCGGGGGAACCCGAAATGGGTTTCACAGATTGTACCCATGTGGAGATTGGAACACGGGTCTTCGGGTCATCGTCGTTGTTATGACAAACTAGACACAAGTTATGGATAACAACTTCTTTAATTACTGTAAAGGCGACATTCCGGTATAGATTCTCATACCATTGTCAAGCAAGGCTGTTCTGATATTGATCGAACATAGTATTTAATTAACGCGGTATACATTTCGCTAAGCTAAATGACGTTTTGCTTCATACCATGCTTCTACACTATAGTCCTCGCCACTTGATATAGAATCACTAAATATCGCAATTATTTATAAACGAAGACAGCTACATGTGTGTTAATACTTACAAAGTGAAAACAAACCACAAACCAATAAGGAATATCAGTGATGACAATAATTTTCAAAGTGCGTTTTTCAGGAAATATCCATTTTGCTGTCGATAAACATCATGATCGAATTTTGATCACGTGGTTACAATCCGGATTAGGATTGGCAGTCAGATGACTGCAGGCGATTATATTTAGCAGTGAGTGCATCTCGAACTTGGTCAATGGCGCTTCAAGTACATCTGCTTTTTTTTTCTTCTTTATGAGCACGAGCTGTAGAAATAGTCGGATCCTGACGGATAGTATGTTATAGTACCTGAAGAGGCGCGTTGAAGCTGAAAGCGCAGGTCAATAATGAATTGATTCACTCGCACGGTGTTTTTTAATCTGTATACTGTATGAGAGCTGAATTCTTTTTAACTTTGTGTGTAGATACAGATATAGATCGACTGACAGTAGCATATGATCCTCCTTATGGGTCAATGTATTATAGTGTTACAAGGTAACCTATATGTTATAAGAACGTATTGTGAGTGAGTGAGTATGGTTTTACGCCGCTTTTAGTAATATTCAAGCAATATCACGACAGAGGACACCAGAAATGTGATTCATACACTGTATGCATATGGGGATTAGAACCCTCGTCTTCGGCATGACGAGCGAACGCTTTAACCATAAGGCTACCCTACCAACATTAGAACGCTTAGAGCAATGGATGTGTGACAACAAAGCTATGTTGCAGACTGTCATATTGAGATATACAGGGACTTTAACGCCCGAGTCGACTGTGGAAATCAGCCTCCTGCTTCTGTACATAATGAAGTGATACAAATGTATCCAGATGTCCCCCTGACTTTTGAATAGCAGATATTCAAGTGATAGTTGGGTTAATACATTCGGAAATTGACTTTTGAACTTTTCCTAAATATTTAGATTGTAAAACCTCAACGTCGTGTTGTTGGAGACAGTGGTGGTTCTTTTACTTACATTTTCTGACAAGGATGTTGTGTGATCGATTATTCTATAATCGGTTGAACTTTTCTTCTACAAAAACAAAATATCAGTAGTCAACAGCGTTGAGAGTATTCATATGCCTGTAATCTTATATTCCATAGATAATATAAAGGATACCGTACGATTAGAAAATACAGCATGTACTGTCAGGTATGAATGGAATAAATCGCATGTTGAAGAAACAGTTATAGCCAACCATTCGCGACCAACTCGTGTTATTCCGGGACAAGCACGTCTCAACTTGACCAAAAACATTAAAAGACTAATTCTCAGCAAAAAGAAATAGGACGTCGCAACTGGAGCTAAAGAACCAACTCATTTTAAAAGGAAGTGGTGCGTCTCAACTGGAGCTAACACAATACAGACGAACACATTATTAAAGCAAGAGGTGCGTCTCAACTGGGGCTGACACAATAGAGACAAGTTCGTTATACCAGAAAGTAGTTCGTCGCTACTGGAGCTAAAACGTTAGAGACCAACTCATCTGAAAAGAAAGTGGCGCGTCTCAATTGGAGCTAAAAGACATTAAAAAGGTAATTCATAACAACAGAAAATGGCGCATCTCAACTTGTGCTAAAATATTAGGGACCAACTTATCAGAGAAGGAAATGGCGTCTCAACTGGCGCTCAAAGACCAACTCATTATAAAAGGACGCGGCGCGTCACGACGAGATCTGAAACATTAAAAGATTAATGCCTTATACAAGAGGCACGTCTCCCCTGGAGCTTAAGCGTTACAGGCCAGCAGAATATAACAGAAAGTGGCGCGTCTGAACGGTATCTGACACATTAAAAGACTGCCAGCAGAATATAACAGAAAGTGGCGCGTCTGAACGGTATCTGACATATTAAAAGACTGCCAGCAGAATATAACAGAAAGTGTCGCGTCTGAACGGTATCTGACATATTAAAAGACTGCCAGCAGAATATAACAGAAAGTGGCGCGTCTGAACGGTATCTGACACATTAAAAGACTAACTCCTGATAGAAAGTGGCGCGTCTCAATTGGAGCTAAAAGACATTAAAAAGGTAATTCCTAACAACAGAAAATGGCG